GTCAGCAGCTTTGAGTGCAGGACCTAGGGATGATACATTCGATGTACCCTACGATCATGTAAGTAAGACCATCTAGAGCTACCCAGAACGACAACAACCACTACTCCTCGAGGTGATATGCAATGGGCGTCGCCTCCAGGCATTGGTGGGCAATGGTGCGTCCCATTCGGTGTGCAACCACGGGACGTTGGAGAAAACTGGAGAGTCATCGGAGGAGACCCAATTTACAGAAACGATGGTGGACGGTACGAAGCTTCCCATCCACGGTGAGTCAACACTGCAGCTGTAGATAGGGGTATTGACGTGGAAGCCAACGTTGCCGATCACGAACATCAAGGGATTAGATTTCATAATCGGGCCAGATTTTCTGAAGCGGTTCAACCCCGAGATAGACTAGGTCAACCGGAAGGCCTGCATCTACAACAATGGGAAGCGTGTGGAGCTGCGAAGCTAGACAGATCCAAGAGATGTTCCTGAAATGACAGTGGCACGGTTCGAACGATGGTGAAAGAGAGTGATACGGGTTACCTAGCACTGGTTATGGCAGCAGCAGAGGAGGAGAAGCCGAACTCAAGGCTACCTGCAGCAGTACAAGAGGCGTTGGAGCAGTACAATGACATCATGCCACACGACCTACCTACAAGAGTGCCTCAAGCGCAAACCCACGAGCACGAGATCGTGGAGGAACCAAGTGCGAAACCTATCTCCCGTGCACCATACTGCCTTAGACCGACCGAACTGACAGACATGAAGAAACAGATCGAGTACCTACTGGACAGACAACTAATCCGGCTATCCACTTCTCCCACCTCATCCTACCGGATCGAGACAGAGACTACGTGGTGGAAGCAGACGCTAGTGACCAGGAAGTCGGAGCAGTACTGATGCAGGATCACGGACATGGTTTGCAGCCCATCTCCTCCCTCAGTAAGAAGCTATACATAGCAGAACTGAATTACCCAATCCAAGACAAGGAAGCCTTAGTGATAGTCACAAGCTTCAACACGTGGAGGTTATCTAGAGGGAGCCAGGATTACACTCTACACCGATCACTGCAATCTCAAATATATGAAGTTGCAACCGACGCTTTCATGACGACTTGTGCGGTGGGTGGACTTCTTGGAAACTCACTTCCAATACGACATCGTCTACAAGCCCGAGCTACACAACAAGGCAGACGCATGGAGCCGCCCCGGACATGTAGCAGGCATCCAGCTCGACGGGATGAACCCTCTGCTCAAGGGTCTATTCCAACATGGGTACTCCGTGGACGCAGAGATCGCTACAGTACAGAAATAGAAGCTCTTACAGTGGGAGAAAGACTTAGCTGTAAGGAAGAGTTCAGGGAAGATTTGGGTATCGAACTATGCACCGCTCCGACAGATTTTGCTGGAGGAGTTTCACGACTGAAATGGCAGGGATAGCGAAGTATTACTATTGGCCCGAAATGGCAGCGAACGTGTAGCAGTTCGTCACCTCATGCGCCACGTGCCAGCGGATGAAGAGTAGCAAGCAAAAAAAAGCAGGGTTCGTTCAGCCTCTACTTGTACCCGGAGCATCCATGGCAAGTCGTCAGCATAGACTTCATTTCTTGGCTTCCTTCGACCTCACGAGGGCATGCTATACTCATGGTAATCAATATGTTCTCTAAAATGGGACATTTCATTCCTTCCAACGCCACGGCTACTGCTGAAGCAACTGCTCACCTCTTCTTCGACCACATCATCACCATCCACGGCATCCCCGCTACACTTATCTCAGACAGAGACCCTAAGTTCACAATCAAGTTATGGAGGGAATGTCAACGGGATTGTTGTGTGGCCCCATCCTCGCTTGGGCAGAGCCGACCTTGTGGTCGGATGTGCGGGGGATGCAGCCGACCAACAGCAGTGTGCACGGGGGCCATTGCAAGGGCGACGAGCTGGAGGGCGCCTGGCTGGAGGGCGTCGAGCAGGAGGACGCCGTTTCGGACGCCTAGTCAATGTCTTGGACGCCTAGATGGCGTCCGGGGAGGCTTGACGCCGACCTGGGCGTCTGCACGGCGTCCCAGGAGGTTGGACGCTGACCTGGGCGTCTGCACGGCGTCCCAGGATGTTGGACGCCGACCTGGGCGTCTGCACGACGTCCTGTGGGCCCAGACGCCTACCTCGACATCTGGTTGGCGTCCTGGGAGGCTGGACGCTGCTCTAGACGCTTGCACGGCATCCTAGGCATCTGGACGCCGACCTGGGAGTTCGGACGGTGTCATGGGCGTCTGGATGCCGGACTGGGGACGCCGGGCATGTGTGGCCGGCTACGGACTGAGCTGGTTGACCAGGCATGGTTGCCCGGTCGACCGGGATACCCGGGCGACGTGGGCGAAGGTCGCTGGGGGGTCAACTTCGGGGGTGGTATCCCGAGGTCGATGCGGCTGGTGGGCGCAGTCGTTGGTGTGGAGTTTGCGAGGCGTCTGGGCTGTGCTCGTGACAAGGTGTGGAGCACCAACCAGCTGCACGCAACTGCGAAGCAAGCGCACCATTGTCCCGCGAGTGCAACACTGTGTATCCGACTTGCTGCACCGTACGCACACCATGGACTTGCAACGTTGGCGCGTCGCTACTTTGCAACGCTGGAGCGGTGCGAGCGCTGCTGCGTTGGAGCGTGGTTGACCATGCTACGCTGGAGGTCGACCAGTAGCCTAGCTAGCTCTGATGTAGTCTATGATGCCAATGTTGTTGCAACCTATTGTCGTCAATCTTTGCCAGTGAAACTCTTGCAAAATCTCCCCGTGAATGTGCAAGCAGAGAACACACAAGCAAACGACTAAGGAACGCAGAGATCACACGAGCATCCGTGCCTAGCCCGTAGTCTAGCTCCCGTTGTAGTAGCTATCTCCGCATGGTGCAGTGAGCGTGGAGGGCATATGACTTACCTTTCAGTCAAGTCGACGTAGTGGTCACTTACCTAAGTTGCTCGTAGGCCGTTAGCCGTGCAGTCACAAGCGTCCGCGTAGGTGACGCAGAGGTGATGGACACCCTGGAGGCACAGCTAGAGGATGCGAGGAGGCGCCATGAGGCCCAGGCTTACGGGGCAATACCCTACGCGATCATCGAGGCTGAACTCCGCACCATGTGGGCGACGGAGCATCCCCCTTCTCGACCAGCTTCTCCTTGACTGGTGACCAACGAAGGCGGCGTCGACGTGGGCGTTAACGCCGGAGGGGGCCAAATCGGCAGCAGTGCGGAAGACACGTTGAGGCATCGTGGTGTGATTCATGCTGATGAAGTCGGCGGCGTTCAGGCGCAAGGGGTGCAGTTGTCAGCGGCTGCAGGCTCCTCGCAGGGCGACGTCGGAGGTCGACGAGGCGGACTGTCGCCAATGTCGGCGACCCAGGTGACGGCGGGCGGGATTGCACCGAGCTATGGCTACTTCAAGTTTTCGCCGGATAGGATCTTCGTCACTCCGCCGCTCGTTGGTTGACCCGACACTCTCACCTGGAAGGAAGCCATCGAGCCTCAGCTGGAGATGGCCGGGCTGATCAGCTTTGCTTGAGGCACCGTGGCAATGCCCGACGACCCCGACCTGCGTGTAGAGTTACGTGCCGTGCAGCTGTTGACCTTCACGGTCATCTCGCGGTGCTGCTCCCCGGGTGTGCAGATTGCCTTGAAGTGGTGCCGAGATTACCTCGACTTCCGGCCACCGGGCGTGGCACTTCATCGAGTCGACGTACCAGGTCACCGACGACTTGTTCATTGCCCAGCTTGAGGGGCAGCTGACACACCTGAGTATGGGCGACGAGGAGACTGCTACCGACTACTGCAACCGAGCCCGGCGAATTCCCGCCACCATAAGGATGGCCGGCGCGCAGTACTCGATGGCGTGCGTACATCACGCACGTCATGCAGGAACTCTCGAGCAGCTACAACCCCCTGAAGCGGCTGTCAATGGCGCCGAGCACGAGGGCGACACTCAACGAGGACAACTTGACCTCATACATCCTGTAGGACGAGGCGATGCAGGAGGCTGAGCGGTCCCAAGAGCTCTTGGCGCAGGCAAACTTCGTCGCCCCTGCGAGGCAAGGTGGCCGGCCAGGGCAGCGTGGGCAGCCTGGCGACAGTGGTAGCAGTGGGTGGAAGCCGGCGAAGGACGCCGACAAGCAGAAGTCGGCTACGAGTGGTAGTTGAGGAGGAAGAAGTCGGCGTCGGGAGTGCTGGATCTGCCACAGCCCCGACCACCTCTCCTTCGAGTGCTCCGACCGCAGTGATACCGACGATGACGATGCCAAGGGAGGCCGCGGGAGGTCGGCCAGCCATTGTCCTCGTCGAGGAAACCAGCCGCACAAGGAGCAGCAGTCGACCAAGTCGACCTCGACGAAGGATGCAGACTCCTCTGCTGGTGGCAAAGGGCGAGACGACAAGGCGGCGTCGTGCTCGCTGGTCGGCGTCGTGGAGCCGACCGTCTCGCTGGCGCCAGGGGCCGTCGAGGACTTCCAGGCGGTGGGAGCAGCTGTGCAGGCGAACCTGGCGGTGGTCCTGCTTGACAGTGGCTGCTCGCACCACCTGATGGGGACGAAGGATATCACCGCATATGTACTTTATGCGGATGCAATAACAGTAGAATAAGGGTGTAAGGGGGCAGAATAGCATATTAGGATATATGCACTTAAATGCATACATAGCTACACTAGCATAGGGCACAGAATGTAGTACAGTAGTGGTTGCAATAGGCAAAAGAGGGGGAAAAAGAAAAGGGACGATTGGAATCACAAGGGAAAGCACCGAGGGGCGAAATGGGAAACCAAATCTCTACCCGAGCCGCACATTGGGAAATGTGCAGCCTGGAGTAGGGATGGGTAAAGTCACGCACGGTCACTCACTCGATGCTTGTTTCCTAGTATTCTCTCATATTAGTGGAAGTTAGCACATTCAGCTCTTAGCACGCAGTGATACACCACCAAGAGGGAACCAGAGGGGTGAGAGATATATCCGGTTCATACTAAGAAACAAGCGTAGGCACGTAGCATGGATAAATATGAGTTGCGTTGGGGCCGGGTCTTCACTTGTCAAGAGGAGGAAAGGCCGCGGCGTGAGCACTCGCAGGAGCATGGGCGTTCCCTAGAGAGATTGCCCCGAAGGCTGGCCTTCCGGGCAGACGGACTCCCCGTCGTGCCGGCCAGCCGAGAGATAGGGGTGGTGCAGGGTGTGACGGGCGGCGGCAGACTCGGCACACCGACGAACGGCGCGCCATGGTGGAGAAACACGTTCCACGTGCACAGCGACGAGCACCGCCACCCGCGCGACGAAGGGGTGTTCCGCTCCCAAGAAGGGGGAGGCCGGCGACGTGATGAGCGAGGCCGCTGGCGGGCGAGGGAGGGATTCTCGCAGGTGCAGGGAGAAGGCTCTGACGTCCGCCAGGTCAAGCAGGATCTGCGGGCTGAGCGGACGCGGGAGGAGAGTGACAAGGAGGATGAGCAGGAGTACGGCGACGAGCCGGTGTATGATGACAGGCAAGGGTACGGCAGTGGGCGGGCGCACGGCGACGAGCCGGAGTACGGCGGTGAGCAGGAACGCGGCGATGAGCCGGAGTACGGCGGCAAGTAGGAACACGGCGACGAGCCGGAGTACGGCGGCGAGCGGGAGCACGGTGACGAGCCGGAGTACGGCGGTGAGCGGGAGCACGGTGACGAGCAGGCAGACGGCAATCCGCAGTAGGAGGGTGACGATCTAGCACCAGCGGGGCCCCACGTACCGAGCGGAGCTGTAGAGGGAGAGCGCGCGCCCAGCGTGGAACACGCCGACACTGACGCGCTGTAGCAGGAAGTCCGGACTCGCGAGGGAGGGGCCCGCACGATGCAGACGCGGGGAATGCGCGGACGAAGAGGTGTAGAGGACAGGCGCACGACAGGAATTCCACGTCGGCGAGCGGAGACGAGGGACGGAAGCTCGCGCTTGCCCAGAGATGAGCCTGCCCAACACCTTGGATGGGGAAGCCAAGACTCTGTACCGTATGAGGATGGAGGAGCTGCTGTGGAGGGCAGGGAGGTACGGGGAAGACCCCACCGAAGCGTTCTTGGAGTGGTTGCAGCGGCAGTTCCGAGGACATACGGCGGAAAGGATAAGGGAATTTCAGGAATTCAAGCTAGGGAGGACTGAGTCACTGCTGGCATACTATAACTGGCCGATCAACGTAGCAGAGGATGTGAAATGCACGGATAGTAGCCTCCTGATCAGTAAGTTCCTGGGGGGGCTGGACGAGGCGCTGGGAGGCGGGCTGCGGATGAAGGTGTATGAGCTGGGCGCGGAGGCAAGATTGGAGGAGGTGTTCGAGCTAGCCGAAAGAGTGGAGCTCGCACAGAGGAAGTATGAGGCATACCTGCCCAGACAGGTGGAGAGAACCCCTAGGCCGACCTGGGCGGCAGCAATGATACTAGAGGAGCGAGGGAAGGCAGAGGAGCGAGGAGAGACACGGGCAGAGACCACGAGCTGCCACCGCTGCGGACAGCCAGAACATCTCCGCAGAGACTGCAAGAACTGTGATGGGTGCGGAAAGCCGGGCCACCGCAAGCGAGAATGTCCTGATGCCGCCAGGTGCGAGGTGTGCAAGAAGAAGGGGCATGAGGCCAAGGATTGCTATCAAAGGGAAGGAGGAGCCAGGAGGGGCCCAGAGGAGTTGCAGCGGGAGATCAGCAGGCTGCAGGCGCAGCTACAGGCAATGGGACCAAGATGGGGGGCAGAGGCAGGGATGTACGCTAGAGACGAGGAGGGAGAAGAGGTAGAGCAGGACGTCCAGTGCTCCCTCATGACATGGAGAGGACGAGAAGAGATGGGGCTGAGGAGCGGGGGGAAGGACAGCAGGCAGGAGCAGAGCAGGAAGGCACGGGATAAGGGGCAGAAACCAGAGGATCAGGGTTGGTTCCATCGCCGGCACGACACCCTCAAGAGAGTCTGGCGTGTTAGACCTCGGTGCTGCTGCTAGAAGAAGGGGCGATGGAAGTGGAAGGGGAGAAGGCAAAGATTGCCATTATAGACACAGGAGCACAGAGCTTGATGCTGAGCAAGGGGATGGCTGAGAGGCTGGGGCTCTTGGCTCCAGAAAGGCATGTAAAAAGGGGGATGTTGGTGATGACAGAAGAAGGGGGGGAGCCGATGTGGATGCCCTGTTCTTGGGCACCCATAGAGGTGACACTACTACCAGGAGGGGAGCATGAAACAAAGATCCAAATGAAGTGTGGCATCTCAGAGTCCGAGGATTTTGACGTATTAGTGGGAACAGAGTTGGTGTTCGCAGTGGGCATGACCATCTGCACGTGGACGGAAAGGGTGGCGTTCCGAATGCGGTACTGAAGAAAGAGGGGCCACTAGGGGAGCTGCCAATACGATTTGTGAAGATAGAGCCCAAGAGAGCGTACCAGGCCATGGCGGGACAGGATGTGGAGAAGGGAGAGGCGGTGGACCACAAGAGAATGGGCGGGACCATGGGAGTGCCCAAAATGAAGATGATGGATGAGCCAAGGCGGCAAAGTGACTGGCAGCAGCCCATCCGCTTAGTGGAGCTGTTTGGAGGGTTGGGGCGGGATTAGCAGCAGTGGTGAGGAGTGGGATTTTTGTGCAAAAGTGGGTGTTTGTGGAGCATGCGCCAGTGGTGAGGAAGATGGCCAAGCATCACGCATGGAAGCTGCAGGCGGAGTTCCCAGAGCTCCTGAGTGCGAGGGTGATTCCGGAAGCCATGAAGGGAGACATCCATGATGTGGCACGGCTGACAGAAGCGGAGGTGGCCAGCTGGGGGTAGGTGGATCTGGTGGTGGCAGGATGGGAGTGCCAAGGGGTGTCATGGGCGGGCAAGGGGAGAGGAAAGGGGGATGTGAGGACACAGCTGATGGAGGATCTCTTCTACATACTGGAATGGCTGCAAGAGAGGCAGGGCAGAGTGGCATACCTAGTGGAAAACTTCGACTTAGCAGGGGACGGCAGGGAGCCAATAAGACTGGTACAGGAGAGGATCAAGGAGCAGTTGGGAGAAGGGGTGAGCAATGATGCGGCCAGAATGGGGTCCCTTGCTCACCGATTGAGAATGTACTGGCAGAACATAGTCCCAGCACCGAAGCTATAGGAAGAGATAGAAGGGGTAAGAAGGGCACCGGGAAGGAAAGTGCTGGACATCCTTGAGCCAGGACGGATCCCAGAACCGGTGTGCCGCAACGGGTACAGCAGATATTATCCCTACAATCAGGTAGGACAGGAGCGGCAGGGTACGCATGGGCACCAGGGGAACCAGGTCCAAGACTCATATATGATCATCGGAAGAAGCGATGGGAGGAGCCGACCGCGCTGGAGCGGGAGCTGGCCTTCGGATATGGGGAGAATGCAACGGCGGCTCCTGGAGTGAGTGAGGCCAGTAGGAGGAGGGCACTAGGGAACGCAATGGACGGCAACATGATGAGATGGCTGGTCCAGCGAATGTGGAGAGAGACAGTGGTGAGCTGGGGGCAAAAGGAAGGAGAAGGGGGCATGGAGCCACGCCCTTGTCAACGGGAGTCATGTGTTGGCCTTGTCCTCGCTTGGGCAGAGCCGACTTCGTGGTCGGGTGTGAAGGGAGCAGCCGACCTGCAGCAGTGGGCGAGCTAGTAGACGAGGAGGTCGACCTGCACAGGGGCCACTACACGGGCGCCGACTTCAGGGAGGTCGACCCGGGAAGCCGACCTGCGGAGGGCGTCAACTTGGTGACGCCAACTTGGGGGCAGCCGACTTGGGTGGTCAGCTGATAAGACTGCTGGTCGACCTGGTGGTTGGTCGACCAAACCAGCTGGTCGACTTCCTGGTGGTCGACCTGATCTGGTGGTCGACGGAGGAGGGGCCGACGTCGACATCGACTCAGGACGCCAAGCAGTTGGGCGTCAAGTAGCTGGGCGTCAACTTGGTGACGCCGACTTCAGGTAGCCGACTTGGGTGAGTCGGGTGACAACTGCTCTGGTCGACATGGAGCTTGTCAACCAGGAGTGCTGGTCGACGTGGAGCTGGTCGACCAGGAGTGACGTCGACCTGGAGGTGGTCGACAAGGGGTGTGGTCGACTTGGTGAGGTCGACTTGGGGTGGTCTTCGACTTGGGAGGTCGACGGGCACATACGAGAGCAGCTGGTCGACGTGATTGCCCGGTCGACCTGGTTACCTGGGTGACGGGGTTCTGCGGAGGACTACGACAGTCGCCCAGGCAAAGTTGGCGAGTCCGACCTCGGTGGTGGTATCCCGAGGTCGACGTGGCTGATCAGATGGAGTCGTCAGCGCCAGGTTGACTTGGTGTGTGCATTGTGCAGGTGACGAGGCTCAGCACGCCAATCATCTGCAAACACATGCGAAGTAGGTGCGCTGTTGTTCTGCGGGAGCAACGCTGGCACGCCGTCACCCTGCAGTGTTGGCACGCCGTGGACTCTGCATTGCTGGAACGCGGTCGACCAAGTCGTGCTGGAACGCGGTCGACCAAGTCGTGCTGGAACGCGATCGACCGTGCTGCGCTGGCAGTCGACCTGCTTGCATGCTAGCTCTGATGTAGTCTTGTCTTGTCAACTTCATTGAATTATTGTTGTCAACTTTTCTCAAGTGAAACTCTTGCCAATTTGCCCCGTGGACTAGCAAGCAGTGTGAGCACTAGGAAAATGACTAAGGAACAGAGAACGCAGAGACCACACGAACACCCGTGCCTAGCCCGTAGTCTAGCTCCCGTTGTAGTAGTTATCTCCGCATGGTGCGGTGAGCGTGGAGGACCCACAACTTACCTTTCAGTCAGGTCGACGTAGAGGTCACTTACCCAAGTTATTCGTAGGCCGGCAGCCGTGCAGTCACTAGCGTGCGCGTAGGTGACGCCAAGGGAATGGAGACCCTGGAAGCACAGCTGGAGGACGCGAGGACACGCCATGAGGCCCAGGAGTACGGAACGATTCCCTGGGCAGTTGTGGAGACTGACATTTGCACCATGTGGTCGAAGTTGCACCCTTCTCGACCTGCGTCCCCTCGATCGGTGAACACAGAGGGCGGCGTCGACGTGGGCGTCAACGCCGGTGGTGGCCAAGTCGGTAGCAGTGCAGGAGGCATGTCGAGGCAAAGAGGTGTGATACACGCCGATGAAGTCGGCGGCGTTTAGGCGCGAGGGATGCGGTCGACGGCGGCTGCAGGCACCTCGCAGGGCGACGTCGGAGGTCGATGAAGCGGACTGTTGCTGATGTCAACGACTCACGTCACAGCGAGCGGTATTGCGCCGAGCTACGGCTAATTCAAGTTTACGCCGGACAGGATCTCGGTCACCTCCCCGCTGGTCGGTCGACCCGACATTCTCACCTGGAAGGAAGCTATTGAGCCCCAGCTGGAGATGGCTGGGCTGATCGGCTTTGCGCGAGGAACCATGGCGACACCGGATGACCCCGACCTGCGAGCGGTGTTTTGCGCCGTGCAGCTGTTGCCCTTCATAGTCATCTCGTGGTGCTGCTCGCCGGGCGTACAGATCGCCTTGAAGTGGTGCCGGGAGTACCTCGACGCCGGCCACCAGGCGTGGCACTTCATCGAGTCGACCTACCAAGTCACCGTCGACTTGTTCATCGCCCAGCTGGAGG